TAATCTGTCATGATGAAAATTCATTTATTTGAGAAGTTCTGCTAAACCAGGGGATCCTCTTTCATTGTTTCTGACCAACTCAGTTTTTCTAGCCCTCATACAGTTTTAAATTGCTACACATGCAGGTCTGCATGGTGGTAGAATGTACACTGCTTCCATTTTGCCTTCAGACAACAGTAAATAAAATGAAGCTATGGGTTTGAAAATGGTAGTGGTGGTTTTACACATACAAAAACATTGCACTGTATATTTTGTGGACTTTATTCCATTTAATCCACTTGGTAAAATAAGGAAAGGGAGAGAAAGGCTAACTTTAGATACAAGACCTGTCCAAAGTTACACAGTTTTTAGGAAGGTGACCCAGTGTCAGGACTGTATGCAAGTGTTTAGGTAAACACTGTGATCTAAAAATTAAGTGAAAAAATAGGACATGGCATGAAATGAGGATCACCGCTAACTTATGTCAATAGCCAGAAACCTTGGTTAAATTGAGAAACTGCTGTTCTGTGTACTTCCATTTAGTTCCTTCTTATGTTTCTTCTAACCTGCACATAATTTTAGGATGGTCTCTCACTTTGTGAAAGAGTAGTTAAAGCCTGCATGCTAATTAATTACACAATTTCCTTTGATGGTAGTAGAAGGAACAGAAATTGTGTGTACGGTGGGAGTAAGGGAATATCTAAAATTTCTTCATATTATTTTTCTCAGAAATTATACTTGTAACGGAAGTTTCTCAATAGAAGTGTCATCAATTTGGCCTCACTCAGGAAGCTGCAAGGCACTTGTCTGTAACCTCAATGAGTTTAACATCGTCTAAAATATAGTAAGCTTTAGATGCCTATCATTCTAGAATTTTAAAGTCCTTCACTTTTTAACTAATACCATTGGAAATTTAGTTGATTTAAAAAGAAAAGCGTCTAATAAAATATTTATTCATGTTTTATAGACAATAGACTAGAAAGGATACTAAAATTTAATTGACCTCAATTTTGTATTTATCAAAAAAGTATTGTGAGGGACTGCCAAATAGCTCAGCAGACTGAAGCACCTGCTTAGGCAGATGCAGGGACCAGGGTTTGATCCCCAGCATGCTGTGCCAACCCCATCCCCGGGCCATGCTGAGAGGATGACTGAGACTGGGTGTAGTAGTGCACTCCTATAGTTCCAGCTCTTGGGAGGCTAAAAACAGGAGGATCACTATGGGTCCGATCTGTGTAGTGAGACCCTGCACTTTAAAAAAAAAAGTATTGTGGGGATTTTATTCATTTATAAGGAATAAGATTTCTCCAATCCTCTATATTATCACAATGTACTTGAATTGGCAAATACTGGAAATCGCTATGATTAAATATACACTATATCCCCAGAAGGTTTAACCCCTATGTGTATGCCAAAAAGTATCCAATTACAATGGGGAGGACCTGATTGTTTTCTAAGTAGATTATGTGGTTTAAAGAAACTTTATTGACATAGCATTGGGCAACATGTATATTCTACATGTAAATATTTTGAATAAATACAGAAACGTATGAAGTTTGCAATCTCACCTTATTTCAACCCTAAAACTGGAAGCTAGTAGTGTCATCCTATAAATATTAATATGTCAAACTTCTAATCACTTTCCTCTGTGCTCTTAAAGGTGCAGTCCTGTCTCTCTGCCAGACAAAGGCACCAAAAGCTCAACTTCCTAAAACCTTAAAGCCTCAAAGCCTCAGATGAGATCTTTCTAACCTTTCCATTTCTCCCTATTGAACTTTTGATGCTCAGAAATGTCCTATTTTCTTTCTGCTGATATTCTCCCACTCATGAGTAAACAGAGGCCAGAACTTCAGGGATCTGATTGGTGAGGAAAAGCAGCAATACTCCCTCATCTGGGGCTGTGTAGGACATATTTACCATGCATCTGTCCTACACAGTGCAGTACTCCAAACTATGGTCTTCTTCCCAGTTATTGAACTTCCTGGTGTCTCTGCTTCCTGCAGACTTTCCCTCTGTGGGAATCCTGTGTCACTCCCCACCTCCTCATTTCTCTCAGGGGATCTGCAGCTCCTTTTATTTAAAAGTATTTCCTTAAAATCGGGACTGGGTAGCTTGTTAACATGTTTAAGGGATTGAATTTGTAGCTATATGCTTCATGAGAGATTCTCAGTGTTTTATTATCAAATAGCTCCTTGGATTCTCATTTACCATTCCTGGCATCTCCGTAAGGAAGTTGAGTCCACTTGACCATATTGAGACCAAAAAATTGGACAGAAATTACTTTTTTTCATTTAAATTATGGTTACTATTTTCACTTTGTTTAAGGGGGCTCTTGCTTTATCTTGGTCTTAACCATCCAGCAGAAAAGTATTAAAATGAGGTATAAAAAGTAAAGGCATATTAATATGCTGAGCTGTGAAAGGCTCAAGTCAACAACTTCTGACATTGCCAGTCTTACAGAAAACCCACTACTATTATGGACTACTGGACTACTTTGGAATATTTTGCTGAATTCGAACACATACAATATTTAAATGGCAGTGGAATACCCATCTCTAACAAAACTACAAAAAAAAAAAAAGGGATACAAATGAATGACCATTTTGTATCTGTGTATACAAAATAGAATAGATATACAGCTACTTTCTCTTAATTCAATGAGAAGAAAGATTTGTATTAATAGTATTTGGACAGGATATCATGTCTTCATCTTATACTATGAATAACCACTAAGAAAGTAACAATATGCAGTGTATTAATTATTGAAACTGTCCTATTAATTGGTTTTGAAACTGTTTCATTGCTGTTTCTCAATAAAATTAATTTAAAAAAGGAGGCTCTATAACAACCTATTGAATGTGATAGCCACACTGATGGAGGTAATAGTTTTTATTAATATTTTGAAATTATTTTTTGGTACAGAGTCTCACTACACAGCTTGGACTCCTCGTGACCTTCCTATCTCAGCCTCCCCAGGGCTGGGATTACAGGCATGCACCATCACACCCATTTTCTGTGACCAGCACAACGCACCCAAGGTTCTGGGGCTGGCAAGCCATGAGGTACCAGTGACTGACCAAGGTCCTTGCACTTGCCAGACAGGTGCTTAGACTGCCAAGTTATCTCCCCAGCCCCAGAGGTAATATTTTTAATGTTCGAGTTGAAATACCATTTCCTGCTGTAAATGGGGGAGAATAGATGTAGACATGCTTTATAACTGATCTGGGTATTACATATGGGAGTAAATCTCATTAATATGCAAAAAGATTATAAAGATTGGTACTGTAATATTGTCTTCTAGCATTTGAATAACACCTTATGTTTCCTAGTATTTCTGAACTTACTATTTTACTTTTTGGATAAAAAGAATATTTAGATCACTTTAGAAGGTATTTCCTAATAGTTTGGATAGATTGATTTAAATTTAAATGTGAAATTATGTTGTAATAAGTGATCACCCTATTCAATGAGCTCTAGCAAACATTTCCTAAATGCTAAATCAGTGCCCGAACTTGTGTTCTGCCACAAAGAAGTCACAGGCTTTTGAAAGGGCAATTACTATCCAAATAGATAAAATATCATATGAGAATTTCTTTAACCAATAACTTACATATTGCTATCAAAACACAAGAAGGCACCAAAGGGAATCATAGAAGGCTTCCTAGAGGTAAGTTACTCTTCTGTAATACTTTTTTGGAAGAGCACAGAAGGAAACTTCCAATGTCAAAAATATCAGGAGAAATTCCAGAAAAAAAAAAACCAGCATATAAAAAGCCATGGAAGAAATAGTAAATTTGGAAAAATGCAGTTAAATTATTATGGCAGGAGTGTAGAATGAGAAATAAGAGATATGACTCATAACATAAGTAAAAGTCATTGGGAAGGACTTTATTTACATCATGGAAGGATGTTTTGACATTATGATAAAAAATAAATTAGAGCTTCAGGCATGAAGGTTTTTTACTTTATTTACATGTTAGGAAGATTTTCCTGGTGGCCTTATGCATGAAGGATGTCTCAGAAGGTATGAGTTTGGTTTGAAAAATCTTGTCACATTCCACATATAAGAATATAAGATTCCAAAAAGTTAGGCCACCATCAAGGTTGAGAAGATGTGAATGTGCAAGTATTTCCGAATTGCATACTCAGAACTTGAGTATTTATTGGGTTTGTATGAGAACGATATATGGGACCTAAAGAGATGATTGTCTGGTATTGTATGCTTAAGAAATGGTTGAGACAATAAAGGAGACAATTTCCAGAGAAAACTTAATGAGTTGAATAAGTCAAGTTGATGTTTCCTAGGGTCACTGAAGAAGGTAGGTAACAAATCTATCAGGTTATGGGCCAGGGAGATGGCTCAGTAGAATAAGCGCTTGCCTGGCAAGTGCAAGGGCCTGAGTTCAATCCCCAGTTCTGCCAAACAAAACAAAACAAAACAAAACCCCACAAATATATCAGGTTAGATACATCGGTTGAGGCAGACATAATTACTTAAGAATCACTCATATTAAAAAATTAAGGCCAACTATGTAACCTTATTTGGTAGAAAGAATTTTCTTTTTCAGTTTAATATTTAAGTATTTTAAATAACACAGGACTGGAAAATATACATGTATATAGTTATTTTATTATTAACATTAGGGTATCCGAATTTAAACATATTTACACTTGAACACAAAGTATCTACATAATTATTAGAAGTAGTTTTACTAAATCAAGAGTGAACATGTATTATTTATATTTTATATATGATAGCATAGTAAAGATAAAAAAAAATAATTGCTAAAGCTACTGTGGATCAGGCTAAAGTACCTCCAAGGTAACACAATCTCTTGATAAATACAAAAGTGAGTACAGATGGTCTTGAGCGATCTGATTCAAAAGACATACCTTCCTGCCAGGTGTGGTAGCACACACCTGTAATCCCAGCTCTCAAGAGGCTGAGGCAGAAAGATTATTGCATGTTCAAGACCAGCCTGGGCCACAAAGTGAACTCAAGGCCAGGTTGAACTGCACAATGAGACCCCGTCTCAAAAAAGAAAAAAGAAAAAAAAAAAAACTTTTATTACCATTCATTTAAGAAGATACACAAAGTCAGTCCCGGAAGGTAGGAAAAATAGTTTTCTCCCTCATAGTTCTTCATTAACTTGTGAAAGAAAGCCAAACAAGGAAAATCTCATTCATAGCAAAGTCTTACATAGTTAATTTTTTTAACAGAGGTAAGTGAAATATTAACATAGTATTTAAAATAAATATACATTTTATATATACTTACTGGGAAAGTTTGAGATGTGACATTTTATGTACAGTAATTCAGATTAAAACATTTTAACTTGGGGTTGTATTTACAAATGTCTCTTTTCCTTTTCCAGATGATTGGCTGGCACAAGAAGACCTAGAACACATCTGGAGATACAGAGTGGAGAGTGTGTGTTCAGTCGCTTGACTCTGTGATAGTCATCTTCTGTACCATGTCTGGCAGATTTTCAGACTCCAGATCCTCTTTGCCATTATCTGAATTTCCTGATGAGATATAACAACCGGAGTCCCTTGGGCAGTTATCTAACTGTGACTTATTTAACGATATGCCTGGGCTTAAGGATAGAGGTGCAGATTCATTTTCTTCTTCTTCTTCTTCAATATCTGTAAATGGAAAAAAAGACTTGTTAGAAAAATCCAAGAAAACTTTTATTCATGTACTCACTTTCAAACATGATCCCATTTCAACTGATCCAAATTTGACTCCACTATAATGAAGATGTCAAGTAAAAGACTATATATCTAATCTACACCTATGCCTGGATTGCCTATATCTATGTCTATGTCTATTTCTATGTCTGTATCACCTATATCTATATCTTTATCTATTTCTATATCATCTATATCTATTTCCGTGTCATCTATATCTATGTCTTTATATCTTTATCTATAAAATATTTACACTCACACTCATTCAGTCTATTGCTGTCTTAAAAGACAAATTTGCTCTTCATTGTTCATTTGCAGTTTCATGGAATGTATGTGAACTTCCTTCATAAGCAAGTATCAGTATGATTACATTAATAGGTTGCCAGTGAAAGCAGATTGTATCCACAATATAACTGATACTTTTTCCAAATATTCCTTAATGTATCATTAGGAAAAAAAAAAGGAATTCATACTTTCCAATGTACAATCAAAGTCAACAGTGATCTGTGTGAGCAATCCCAGAATCAGAATGTGCATTAGCGAATAAGCAGTTACTATGGGCAACAGTGTGTAGTAAGACCTCAAGCGGAAAGTATTCAACGAATTAAACTTTAAGAATCTGGACTTCTTCTATAGATATAAGTGCCTTTAGTGACCAAAGCAAAATTTTCATTGAATTTACCTTCTAAATATTTTGTTTGTCTTCCATATCTCTGTAGTTTTGCATAGAGATGAGTTATTTTTAGATTGATAATTTATGTTCTTAAAGTTTTTATATTCAAAAAGCATTAGCTTTTAGAAGTAAGTATTTAATATTAGAACCTAACAAAAGATGTTCCTAAGAACCTAAAGTACTTGTATAGAATGTGGGACTTGTCCAGATTCTTTCAGCGTCAGCTTTCTATTTGTCAGTGTTGAGGACCTTTGCCTGCCCCCAACTCCTGTAGATGAGCTTTTCTATGTGTGATGAGGTGACTTCAGAGAAGAAGTAGATCTCAGGCTCTTGTCTCTTAGCTTGGTTAACATGCTTTCCTATTTCTCTTTCTTATCTCAGTTTCCTCATTCCTGCCATTTGAAAAGTATCACACTAGGAGATCCCAACACTTGCACTAAGAGACCCAAACACTTCATCTCTAAGATTGGGACAAAATCTCAGCCTCAGAGGATTCCTCCAGTTTCACTATGTCTTGTCCAGTTTCACAAGTAAATCCAAACTTCAGAAATCAAGGAAGAAGAAAATTACATATTTTTTATCAATTAGTATAAGGCTGATCAACAGGTCTTAAAACAATTCACTCTTTATCTTATTTATATGTCTCCTGCTTTCTAAAAGCATTTTTCCTGGCTCTAGACACTTTGTCAGTATTAGTTAATGTTGGTTTCTAAGCCCTTCTTTTCAGAAAAGCCAATACTCAAGTGGGACCTCGTTTTCTCAGGAATTGCTTCTTGTGCCTCTGCTCTTCTCTCTTACTGACAACGAAATGAAACGCTCCCTTTTTGTGTCCACTGTCAATGTGTTTCTGGAAAAGCCCAGGGGAATTAGCTCTTTGGTATGCACACTGGCCTCTTAGCACTGATAACCAGATTTGAAGCCCGACTCCAGTAGTAATTGTGGGGGGACAAGACCACACTTTTCCACATTAATTTTGGGCCTCTTACTCCACTGCAAAGTTTAAAGCACTTAGATATTTTCCTTCAGATTAATGTCCTCAACAAGAGTAAGCAAAATAAAATCTGTTTTCTCCTAAAATGCTTTTACTTAGGTTGATTACTAATTTGGGGGCCCTTTTTAAGATGGAAGCCTTAAGTGCAGACACCTCTGATTAACAAAATTATCTTTTTTTTTTCTTTCACAAATAAGCACTTAGTTTGTTATTTCATCCTTAGAAATCTATGTGCATTCACCTAAAAGGGTGGCAAAGTAAACAAATAATAAATAAAAATCTGACTTTACTGGAGAATGTATCATTGTTTAATATTAGCAGTAAAACATAGTGGTTTTTATTTCCACCTGAGAAATGCTGTATCACATTCTGTAAATTCTAGGAATTACTTTGTTTTAAATACAGGTTATTGTAGAACCTTTTCATATGCAGTCTTTATGGAAAGAGGAAATAGTTTCTCAGTATGAAGGTTATGCAGCATAGTAATTTACAGAACAGTGATAATTTGCTAAATGATTTCCTAGTAAAATGAAACATGCCTATCCCTCCTCAAGTGCCTCCCACCAGGCTTCCAATAATTTCAGGCAGGTGATCGGCAGGAGCCCTTCATTTGGAACTATAAAAGGAAAAGGCAGGTCATTATGCTTTACTGTGCTAATGACAGCTGTGGAGCATTCTGCCTCAGCGTTTGGAGGGTCAAGATCTTTCCTCATTTCTTTTCACTCTGACACTAATAACAGGTGTTAACACGCACATAAGTTTCACTGTTGGTGTTTTTTGTTGGTTTTTTTTTTTTCCTTTTTGGTCCCACAAAGGTATACATTCACACTAATGCACTCACATTTTCTTTCTAACTCATTTAGTCCCTCCCTGTGGTCATGAAACCGAGCTAGGCCAACTGCCTACCCAGAAACTGAAACCACAAACTTTATCAGTTGTGTCTCGCGGTCCACTATCTGAACTAACACGCAAGTAACACGTTGGCATGAGAAACCGTCTCCCTCCGAAACGACAGATTTCTCAGAGGATATTGGAGTGAATCTTTTTATGCTAAAATATTTCTGATAAATTGTTTGGTTGGAAAAGTATATGTAACTTGTGTATTACATTATTGCAATTCTATAACAACATATACATATAATTCACTAAATGAGAATGTTTGAATTTTATATTTTTCTCTGTCTCTCAGATCATTTATAATATTTTACTTTTTAAATGAGGCAAAAAATTAAAATAGTAGTTTTTGATATAGCCCTTGACTTGCAAGTTTCTCAAAGTCTATATATTTTCAAAATTGTATTGAAAAATTATTAATAATTATGGATACATCTCATGTAGTGCTGCCAGTTGATAATAGGTATACTAGGAATTCTAGAAAGCACTACATTTCTGTACTGTGTGTAATGTAAGATCATGTTAAGGAAAAAGCAGGGAATATTTTATTATGAGGAATTAGTTTCAATGTTAAACGATTTTATTTCCTGTTAAAATTGCTATGAAATTATATAAAGCCCGTGGGTCAACATTTTTAAGATGGTCATCAATGCTCAAAAAAGTGATATGGTGATTAAAACAGAAGACAGCCAGTATAATTATTCATAAAATAATTATATTAGAGTTTTGACATTTAATTAATTAAGTGTGTGCAATTTCAATTATATTAAAAGTGAAGAAAGCTCCAAAGAAATCAAACAGGATTCTTATTCTGGGAAAAAGTTCTCATACTCTAAGACAACAAATCTCCCTTATATTCATATATTTAAGGTCCAAAACTACTAATTTTTCCTTGACCTTTCCAACTTTCACACCTAAATCTTCCAGGATTTGCCTTTACTGTGGTGTTTGCTTTAGCTGCAATGACTCTGTTTCTTTGCACCAAATATTATAAAACGCTGGCAGGGCGTAGGACAATGGCTGGCCAAAAAAGTGCTCAATAAATGAAAACTAAAGAACATTTGAAAGAACTCTGTTGAAATTCAAATGAAGATATATCTTGACTCTGAATAATTTTCTCCTCTTTCTCTTAACCTAGTGCCATCCCCAAGAGGAAGAACTAGGGACATATGTCTCAGAAGGCCCACGACCTCCACTTCATGTTATGGCTCTATTGGAGTCACCCAAACTTTGTCCAGGAAGGAAAAATCAGCAATTACTCCAAGGCTCCCAGGTTACCTTTAACTACATCATAAGCAGGTCCTTGAGTTACCTGAACACTTTAATTTGTTAATTAGAGTGAATGATTGAGGTTTCCTTTACTCGAGTACTAACCCCTCTTTCAGAAAAGTAAACAAATGAGGAGCAGAAATCCGTTCATGGAGAAACAAAGAGTGGTGGCTGTCCTGAGACCATGAACTCAATTCACAGTTGAAGCAACTCCTGTATTTATACATCTCCCACAGTCTCGCATCAGAGCCTACCCTTTAACTGCATCCAGGGGAGGTAAGCTGCCCCCATCCACATTAACCTTTGCTCCTTGGTACTTGTTATTTCAGTAGGAGCAGAAGCACAGTTCCTTATGAACTCAGTCGACTGCCCGCTTGCATGCAAGGCTTTGGTTCCAGGCAATGCCCACGCTCAAGTGAGTGGTTGTTATATTGGACTCATTTTTTTTTTGGTAGTAATCTAGTAAGATTAGAAATTATGATCATATATAATCTAATTAGGGGGTCAAAGGAAATCTATTTTATATTCCTGAGAGGTTCACTTGATGAGGAAAATGGTGTTCCCCAATATGCCACTTTGACAAAATGGCTATTTTAACTTAAAGGTTCTTAAACAATGGCACATGCAAGATCACGCAGACATTTTTTTCTGGTTTTTATTTTTTTTTTAAATTTTATTTATTTATTTATTTGAGTGTGTAGACAAGACATCATGTCTGCATCGTATACTATGAATAACTACTACAGAGAGAGAGAGAGAGAGAGAGAGAGAGAGA